TCCCACACTCTTCTAGGTCCACTCAGGCCAGGGCACGGAAGCACACTGTTGACTTCTAGTGTCTAATCTGGCCCAGGCTGAGCAAGCTCCTGTGCTGTGTGACTACGTCTCTTCTTACCCCCTGTCCACTCCATCAGCAAGTTCTCCAGGTTCTGCTGCAAATGCATCCCAAATCCAGCCACTCGTCATCCCTCCCCTGCAGTCTCCCAGGCCCAGCCTCTGTCTTCTCACATCAACCGCAGTGACCTAGTTGGTCCCTAAAGAACCCTGCAAGACCTGGCCCCTGCCCACCACTGGCCATCCATTTGTCCTGCTTTTTTTCCTTCTTACTCTATCTCCATCTGATGCATTATATACTCTCTATGTCTTTATTTTCTCTGTCCTACCACTTGCTCTCCACCGCCATCACCTTTACCACCATCCCCTGGGTTATAAGCTCCATGAAGGCAGAGGGTGTGTGTGTGTGTGTATTCTTCACTGTTGTACTCTGCACACTTGGCTCAGTGCCTGACACATAGTAGGTCCTCAACAAATGACTGGTTGGATGAACCTGTGACATGGAGATAAGACCTGCCTATCTAAAGGGGGTGCTTAGGTAACTGCAGTTTCTCCCTTCCTCCCAAAGCAGGTTCTCATTCAGCCACAGGGAGGCATTGCTCTAAAGGGCAAGACACTAAGAGGAGGTGGAGCTAAAAGCAGGTGTGGGGGGGGAGGGGAAGCAGGGGATGCCCCCAGCACTTTCCCACCCTCCCAGGACTGGACTCAGAAGTTTACTAAAGGCCAATCACCGTCCATCTTGAGCACCTGAGACCCTTGATGCCAGGACCAGGTCTTCAACTACTACCAGTGATAACAGCAGCTGCCATATTTGAGCACAACTTTGTGCTAGGCCCTGTATGTACCTTGCCTCGTGAAGTTTGACAACAACCCAAAGGTACCATGGTTAGCTCATTTTATGGAGGAAGACGCAGGCTTAGTGTGGTGAAGGGACTTAACTGAAGTCACACATCAAGTAAAAGGCAGCACCAACATTTGAATCCCCGACTGCCTGAGCCCTTGGCTTTAGGAAGAGTTAGGTCAAGGGCCAAGTTATAGTAACCTGTCAGGTGGTTTCAGTGAGGGCCATTGGGGCCTGTCTGTACCACAGTCAAGGGGGTGGACACAAGGAAATAAATGGTTCACAAAGAAGCTCAATATAGTCTCACTACAAAACCTCAAATATGTCCCTATGCCCTTTTCTTAGAGACGGGATCCCATAACAATGTGTTTATTTCCAAATGGTCACAAGATGAAATGCACCTAACTGCGTGCAAAACTACCTGCTCCTGCACCATCTCTACCATCTCCTACCACTTCCTCTCTGCCACCATCACCTTTACCGCCACCCCCACAATGACCAGGACCTCCACCTCCATGGCCACCACCACCATCTCCACAATCTCCTCCATCATCTTCTGGGACACTCCAGGCTCATTCACCTGCCCC